GCGCCTTTTTTTGCAGCTAGGCACATGCATCAGAGGCGGGCACAGGTTTTTTTTCCTCTCAAATTTGCTTCGCCGCTTTTTTTCTAGGGGCAAAAATATTTTTTTAACAGCCAATTAACACCGTTAGCTAACGGATTTGACGGTAGTGTCAAATTAGGGATGAAAGTTGAAGTGAGTGTCAAATAGGGAACGAAGAAAATTTCAGGGCCAAGAAAGGAACGACTCATTTTCCTAGTGTCAAATAAGGAATTCTCTCTTTATTAAGCCAAGGAGCTCCCTCACGTGCTCTATATCAGCGCTGCTTGGCATCTCCGACCAGCTCTTCTAGCTCTCCGAGATGTGGTCAGCGTCGCAGCGGACGACAGGATGCCTCTGCTTCATGTAGAACCACCTGGCGTTTCACCCCTTCAGCGACGTGTTCAGCGGCACAGTAAGGTACTCGCCTGCCATTCCATCGCGTAGCTGAAGGTACACTCCGCCGACCACCTTGGAACCACCGCCGCCTCTCTTCTTCAGCCAGAACAGGTGACGAAAGAGGTTAAAGTGGGGAAGGATTCTGAGATACGCTTCACAGAAATGGATGAAGATCGAGATGTGCAAAATGGTATTTGGGTGGAGATTGCACAAACTAACTACCCAGAACTCCAACAGATCCCTCAGGAATGGATGAACAGGAAATATCAACCCGCGCCAGAAATAATCCTCAAATACCACTACTTCATCAGTATGAGGCATTAGGAAGGGCTCACCGAGGGCCGACCGCCATCCGACGGTAACGCGGTCAGGAAGAACGCCTGCCTCCACCAATCCGTTAAGCTCCGCCTCTCCCGTTAGCGATGACACCCACTCTTCGTCACGCCGGGTTTCGGCGCTCGCTTTCTTGGGGCTCGTCCTCTTCGGTTTTGTAGCTCCTTTCTTCGGCGTCATCTCTCAGATCTGGTTAAGGTTTGACGATGGAAGCAAGTGTAGATGTGAATTTGGAAATGCGAGGGCTGAGGAGGAAGATGAAATGGCAAAGTGGCAAAGGTGGAAGCGCGGGGTGCAGCGGCGCAGTTATAAAAGCACTCCTCCACCTTTTCGCATTCGAGGGTTTTTGGAAAACCGTTCCCGCGGTTTGCACTTCTCCGAATTCTCCTCAACAGCAAGGTGGGCCGTTACCTGGGCTTTCGCGCAACCGCGGCCCGTATCGCCGATTTATCTCCGCAATTTGTTATGGCTCGCTGAATATTCGCCGACTTCTTCGCCGACTTCTCCGTCAACCGTTACGGCTCAGTAATTACTACTATACAGCCATTACTCCGGTATTTTCTCTGCGATTCTATTTTCTCCAAGATTTCCTCTTGTGGCTTGGGGACTGCGTCAGCATTACGTCTCGGTTCCTCACCGCATTTGGGATTTTTCTTCAGTTGACTGCTATTTCTGACTCTGGCACCACGTGACTACGTCACCTGTTGTCAGGCTCGGGGACTAAGTGGGCACACTTCATCCTTGCGGTGAATGTGTTTTTTTATTTCGGGGCTACGCTCGGGGACTGATTGTCTGCTCGGCTGGTCTTCTACTGTTCTTCTACTTTGCACCCTGGCACCTCATGACTATGTCATCTACTGTCACGCTCGGGGACTAAGTGGGCATACTTCACCTCGCGGTGAATGTGTGTGCTTTATTCTGAAAGACTCCATGCCTCTTGAAGCTGAAGAAGACTATCTCCTTTTCTCGTGATCGGACTCTAAGTGGGCACACTTGGTCAACTGCGAGGAAATTTTCGTTTCTGAACTTGAGCTTTTTACACCCTTATGGCAAGCCATACTTAGGTTACACTGCTCGGCGACGGTTCACGCTGCTCGGCGATGGATCACACTGCTCGGCGATGGTTCACGCTGCTCGGCGACTGTTCACAACTGCTCGATAACTCATCACGGTGGTCGGACCATGAGTTTGACTGCTTGGCTTTGTTCACACCTGCTCGGACAAGCTCAAGACGGCGTTGCACAACGGGTACAAAACGCTCGGGGACTAGCTGTGGGGGTACGACCCTAGATACCCACGACAGACCACATGGGCTACGCCCCCAGGGGTAGCCCAGCTCACAAAATGAAGTCTTGCGGGGCACGACTCTGCTCGGCGCCTCCCGCAAGATACCGGGAAGATATCCTGAAGATACCACGAGATCTGTTAGGATACGTATGATCTCATAATTTCTGTAATCTGTTATTACTTTCCGGTTATCTCTCATATCTAACCGACTTGTAACTCTGTCCTCCGGACTATATAAGGCGGGCAGGGACCCCCTCCAAACTTACACAATATCATACGATAGCAAATACAATCTAATAGACCATAGGAGTAGGATATTACGTCATACTGATGGCATGAACCTGTCTAACTCGTATGTCTCTGTTGCCTTCTTATTCTGGATTATACGTCTCTCTACCGATTAATCTACCTTCGTGGAATATCTCTCGGAGGACTACCGATGATATTCTGTCGACACGATCCTATCACGTTGTTAGGTGGCCTTTCACGGTCGACGATATTCTGTCGATCCTATCACGTTGTTACGTGGCCTTTGACGGTCGCGCCATCCGTGCCCTCTACTTCAGACCGTCGGATCCATGGATGGTTGCTTCCGTGCTTCTGGATCAAGCAGCAAATGCCGGGCGGCCTGAGCTGGAGCGCGCGGCTGCTCGCTCCGCTACGCTGCGTCTGGCCGGCTGCGGCAAATCGACGAATCGAGCGCGCGCCAGCCTCCGTACTCGGTCCTTGCTGCGGGAGACAATGAGTGGGAAGCTGGTTGACTGTTTTTTTTAAGAAACTGAGGGGCCAAAGCCCCTACAGGAATTTTATTTAGCTAATAAAAACAACAAGCAAGCTGTACAAAAAAAGAGTTTTAAGGCCCTGTTTGATAGAGAGCTTCAGCTACTTGATTTTTTTTATAGAATGATTAGAGTTACCTTTTACGAGAGAGGAGGATGGGGAGTAGATGAGAATTAATTTTGTAGTATTATGGTGGGGTTTTAAATTAGGAGTGGAGGTGGAGCGAGCTTTTTTTAGCTCACAACTCTCTGTGTAAATGGAGAAATAACTCTTGTGACTTGTGACTCCAGCGAGGAGAACAACAGCGACGGGTAGGACAATAACCCTACGCAAATATTTAGACGTGATTACACAGGTTCTTTCTTAGGGGGTATGTCGTAGCTTCTCTGCAGTCGACTGCCATGTACAAAATCACACTTAAGTAATGTACCGAGAAGACCCAACAATATCAATTGTCATGGTCCAAATTAAACGTTTAGGATCAACAATCCCCGACGTCTCCATTTAGCATCCCACCATGCATGGCGCACTTGAGAAAAGGCACTGCATGAGTAGGGATGGTGGCTCAGGATGTCAATGGGAAATTCCTCGCCAGGGGTTGAGTCACATTCCTATCCTATTCTTGTCCTACGAGGATGAAATGTTATATTTCTTCTTTTGCCGTCATTTTCATGAAATTTGTAGTCTTCACGTTCATATTGTAAGCCCGTCTTTGATGGTACCTTTAAATTTACATGTTGCTTGTAGTTCCGGTTGCACATTTATACTCACCATGTATTGCAAGTGGAGTTAATTAGTTATTGAAACTCTTAATCTTTTATCCTATTGCATCAATTTCTTTTTGAATTGTGATTTACTTCTTGTATATTTTCATTGCTGCTTAATGTAATGGATTATGATAAGTGTTGGATTTATATATTCTAACCAATGTAGGTTTTGTTGTTCTAAACTATAATTATTGCCACTTCAACGTTGTTTACAGGTTTTAATGTAGCTCTGTGCTTGGTTTGCAGCTATGCAATTCATGTTGTGTAATTAACAAATTGGAACCTCATTTTAGTGACTACAACATCTAGCTAGGTTATGTTGCCGCTATAATATCTTCATTGAAGTAATATATGTTTACATTTTGTAATAATTTTGGAGTCATCCAATTGTTGCCTCGGTTTGTGATCAACTTGGACAGTGAACATGTTTTGTTGTTTTTTACTTTCATCGTATTAATTCTTATGTTGTAAGTAATTAATTGGGGCCTTATATTAGAGATCAAAGTTTGTTATAGTCAATTTTTTATTTGTGCTATTTCTGTTGATGTACAATTTGTACTATTGTTGTGTAGGATTTGTATTGATGTAAATATTTGTTTTTGGTGCTAGAAATTTGTTAAAGAATCTTGGGTTCTTTTGTACTCTTCAATGGATTGGTGGTGTGTTATCTAAATCACTTCTTATGCTGATTTTTTTTTTTTTTTGCTTATGTGTTACGTGTCGTCTTCTGATCTTTATAAAGCCCAACATGTTTGGATAGAGAAAACCTGTTTCATATTAGATGATTGCATTAAATATAGGACCACGAAGGAACAGTGTCTTACATTAAATATCGGCCATATTCGCTTCTCTTATAATCCGTACTTTTCAGCTTGTTTTTTCAGCCGGAACAGTGTTTTTCTCTTACAACAAATCAGCCGAAACCGTATTTCGGCTTGTTTGTTCAGCGAAGTGAACGGGGCCGATAATGTAATTTACATTTCACTATCAATAAATTATTCGTCTAATAATCTGCATGTTGCAACCACACCTTACAGAAGTTCCAACAGCTTATTAAGTTCAGCGCACAGGGAAAGGCCACATCCCTGAACGACATGCAGATTCATCTGCCTCACATTTTTCAGCCACGCCGTGCTGTGACAGTAAAACTCTAATACTTTGTGTTAAGGTAGAGAGTAGTACAAAATACATGAGGCGCCGTGCCGTGGCACTCGCAAAGAGGCAGCTAGAAGGTACGCGCTGTCTTGTATCAAAACCCGTAGAACACATACCGCCCTAGCGAGGTACAGTTTATTGCATTGTCCTCTGCATTTCGTCAGACTGCAGCCATACCCCCAAACCTGTAAGAAAAGGTAGAGCTGCGTGCACGAGGGTGACGATCTACTGGATCGATGTCACGTACATGCAAAGCATGAGGATTCAGGAATAGAACTGGAACGTCGACGCGTCTTGGACGATGCTCCGTAAGCCGCCAATGGTAGACACAAGCATCAGCAGCACTCCGACGACGATGCAGCCCTGACAAAGAGACGCGGACGAAGAGATGTGTGAGCAGGCAGAGGCCAGTCCTAAGGTCCCAGCTCTGAACTCTCCCAGTTTGAAAAAAGAATGCGAGAAAGAACTGGTGTCGCTTACCCAGTTGGCACACCACGACGCGCTGAACCTCGGCGGCTTCTTGATCTTCAGCCACAGAATGCAGGGGAGCTGCGAATAGAATCCAAACTAGTTTCGTCACTGGCAGTGGAAATCTGAAGAATTGTTTGGCCGTGTCATGTCAGTGTGGAAGGCTGCTGCTTACGAAGTAGGAGGTCGGCGTGAACCCAAACCCTCCGAAGAAACCGAGGAGGTCGCCAAAGAACGGGAAAGTCACCGCGATGAACAGTGTGAATGCTGCAAGCATTGGCAGGCATGATGTCAAGTCCCATTGGCATGCAAAAAAATTGAAGGTTTCAGTCTCTCTGTCGTCAGTTCATACCGACGTAAGCCGATCGGGCCACGAGACGGAGGAGTAATCCTTGCGGCAGCCTGAATCTTGTGACCAGAATCGTCTCGATGCTTTCGAATATAGGCATCGCATACACCTGCCGATGTTGCAGATTCAGAGGCCATTTTTGCGTTTCGTCTTCAGTAGTTCATGGACATGTATGTAGAGACCAACAAAGACAACCTATGCACACTTAATTACCTGATAGCTTCCGACGACATGGATGACGACCATCATGTTGGCCGCGGCGACGAGCCAGGGCGGCCGCTGCAGCGCGACGAGGACGTTGTCGCCGACGTCGCGCCCGAAGGCCCAGTATCCGAGGAGCGCGACGGGGAAGTAGCAGGCGGCGGTGACGAGGTACGCGGCGACGGTGCCCTTCCACATGGGCGCCCTGGACGGCTTGGTGGGCGTAGACGGGATGGTGGCCTGGATCTCCAGCACCACGCCGTGCCCCGCGTACGCGAACGCCACCTGCCCCAGCGCGCTGAACACCCGGAACGTCGAGTCCGCCGCCGTGCCGGCCTTGTACGCGTAGCTCACCCCGGGCACCGGCCCGCGCGCCACGCACGCCGCCCACGAGATGGTCGAGTAGCTGCACGCAACGCATGCGATCGAGTTCGTCACTGAGATCGAAGCATGCACGCACGTAGCTAGCTGCTCGTAGCTCGATCAGTAAGAAGTGCCGACCGCACCGTACCAGAGTGACATGGCGGCGGCAGCGAAGGACACGGCGGTGATGGCGTCGAGGTTGGGCAGCTGGGACAGCAGGAACTGGGAGGAGCCGAAGATGCAGATCCAGTAGGACTGGTGCAGCGGCCCGCAGCGCGGGCACAAGGACTCGGCGAACTTCTGCAGGCACTTGCCGCCCGTGACCATGTACACCATGTCGCAGCCGAGCTGCACGATGAGCTGCTGCGGCACGACCACCCAGGGCCCCAGGCGCGGGCCCAGCGCGTGCGCGCCGAGGTCGCGGAGCCGGTTGAACCGCACGCCGGGCACGCACTCGTGCAGCTCGATCAGCAGCCGCAGCGTGTACAGCGTGATCCCCCACGACACCAGCAGCGCCACCAACCCGGGCCCCCTGATGAACCGAAGCAAGAAGAAGAAACACTGCTCGAGTGAGCCAGCCACGCCGTACGTGAGCCGTGAGTCGTGGGTCAGGGTCAGTCGGTTACCATCCTAGGTGAGCCATGGCGTACGGCAGGCTGAGCACGCCGGCGCCGACCATCGCGGTGACGTTGTGGAACGTCACGTACCACCATTTGGCGCGGCGAGGGGTGGCCTCACCGGTGGCGTCATCGACAACCTGGAGCACAAGAAAACAGCACCTGCTGGTGAATGATCGTCGTCTCAATCAGGCCCATGCATGGAATGGAAGTCAGTCAGCCGTGTCCAAGAACCTTGGGGAGAGCTGACGAAGGGGAGACCATGGTCAGTCAGATCGCTGCTGCACACACTAGCGCTGACACAGGAGGCAATGCAATGTGGCATGGCACCATGGTATATATAGCAGCAGCTCGTCAGCGAGCAATGGGCATCATGACTCGGCTCATTTTTTCCCGGAAAAGAGTCCCGGAATTTAGGTACCCGCACCGCAGACAAAAAAGCTTCTGTAGATCATTAGCGTTCTCGGTAAGAATGATTAGGTGCCGAAACAAAAGCAGAGGCCTGCGTTCATCCGCGGATTATCAAAACTTATCGTGCGGTTGCAAAGATGTGTTTCGAATAAATCGCAGGGAATCTTTGTCACGTCAAGTCCGGCGCATAATTAATCTATCCGCGATTATTAAACCAGCGACGGATTTTTTTTTTTTTGAACTTATTGGCAGGAGCGCCACCCTTCAGTTAAGAAAAGAATAGAAGTTCTGGATACTGATTACAAATTACGAACTATTATAGTTCGATGAAAAGAACTTGACACACATTAATAAAAGCAACTAAACGGTGCAGCGCTAAGGGGATGCAAGTCTTCTCTAATGAGAGGTGTGGCACACGCCCGACGCCGAAGCAAGATGTCCTGCTTGACGAGCTCGAAGACTTTGATCTGCTCGCAAAGCTTTGGATTAAATATTCTCCGATTCCTCTCCTTCCATAAGTTTCAGGTCGCGTACATTAACATTGTTGCTGCCGATCTTTTCTCTTTGCCCTTCAATGGCTGTAACGTTTGATTCCACCAATCTTGGATATCCGTTGCAACTGTTGAGAGAAAGTCGACACCCCACCCCATCCAATTGCTAATTAGGAACCATACCTCCCTTGCAAAGTAGCATTGCATACACAGATGGCATGCAGTTTCAGGCTCTTGGTCACATAAAGGGCGGGTTGCTGGACCTTGCCAATGCCTGGCCGATAGCAGGTCGGCTGTCAAGATTTTCCTTTGTAGCAGGACCCAGGCAAAGAATTTAACCTTCTCCTCAGCGAATGCTTTCCAGACTTTATGCTGGCTGCCATCTGAGTAGGTGCCTTGCAGTTGCATTTATGCTGATTTGGTTGTGTACGATCCATCAGCAGTCCATCGCCAGGTTATTGAATCAGTTTCATCACTAAGTTGTACGCCCTGTACCAATTCCCACAAGATGATGAATTCTGCCATTTCTTATGCTGTTGTCATTCGCCATAGACCGTGAGTCCAGTTGTTGTTCTGGAGTTCTTGTTGAACTGTTCCCTGCTTCCTCCATGCCAATTTGTACAAGGTTGGTGCTGTATCAAACGGGGCCCTTCCTTGCAGCCAACTGCAATGCCAAAACTTGGCCACCGCACCATTGCCGATAGTGACAACAGTGCTAACTCTAAAAACTTGTATATCTATGTTATCACAGGGTGTTGGCGACCCAACCCAAGGCCTCTCCGGGTCCTTCCACTCAAACCATATCCATCGCAACCTTAGAGCTCTACTGAACATTTGCAGGTCTAGAATGCCCAATCCTCCCAACTCTTTAGGCAGCTTGCATTTCTTCCAATTCACCAGGCAGTGACCTCCACTAGCATTCTCTTCACCTTTCCAGAGGAAACTTCTTCTAATCTTATCTATTTTCTTGATTGCCCATTTTGGTAAGGAGAAAACCGTGAGGAAGTAAACTAGCATTGCTGATAGCACTGATTTTACCAAAGTCAATCTTCCTGCCTTCTCCATTAACTTTCCCTTCCATGCTGGTAATTTTGATGCCACCCAGTCAATTAGTGGTTGCACCTCCACCCTTCTGAGTTTTCTGAGTGACAGTGGGAGACCTAAATATTTGCATGGAAATGTTTTGATTGTGCAGGGCATATCTTGCATTATATCATTTACAGCGATGTTGTCACGCCTAATTGGGTAGGCAGCCGACTTGTTGAGGTTGATATGGAGGCCAGGCACCTCCCCAAAAATATCCAAAATCTCTTTGATTGCGTGAACCTCTTGTCTGACTGGATTAACAAAAATAGCAGCGTCGTCGGCATAAAGGCTCACTCTAAATTTGGCCGATTCGGATGCCACTGGGGTGATTAAAGAGTGCTCTTCTGCAAATGATAGGATTCTCTGCAATGGCTCTAATGCTAGTATGAATAGCATCGGTGACAAAGGATCACCCTGCCTTAAACCTTTTTTGTGCCTGAAGAAAGGTGTTCTTGATCCGTTTACTAGAATTGAGGAAGATGTTGTGGAGAGCAGCAATGATATCCACTCTCTCCATCTTTGTCCAAAGCCCATACTTTCCATAGCCTCCAGCAAATAGTCCCATCTCACCGAGTCAAAAGCCTTTGCAATATCGAACTTGAGAAACAATGCTGGTTGGTTTGTTTTGTGTAAATGCCTCATGGTGTTCTCTGTGTAGAGGAAGTTATCATGGATGCTTCGTTTCCTGATGAAAGCACTTTGATTTCTTAACACAAGACTACTCAGAATCTAGGACAACCTGGTTGCCAACACTTTGGATATAATATTGGCGATGCTACTAGTCAAGCTAATTGGTCTGTAATCCTCAATTTTCAGAGCTTCAGCTGATTTAGGAATGAGCACAATGTGGGTAGAATTTAGCATCTTGAGATGTTGCCCGTGCAGATTGTAGAAGTAATGCAATGCTGCACAAAGAACCTCCTTGATTATGTCTGAAAGCTCTAGTTTGGTTTTGGTGAATTGATGAAACCCTAAGTGCTAACCTAGTTTATCAAGTGATCATGAGATAGGTAGCACACTCCAAGTGGTGAAGCAAATGAAGATCATAGCATGATAAAGATGATGGCATGGTGATGATCAAGTGCTTCGACTTGGAAAGAAGAAAGAGAAAAACAAAAAGCTCAAGGCAAAGGTATAATTTGTAAGAGCTATTTTGTTTAAGTGATCGAGACACTTAGAGAGTATGATCACATTTAGGATTGATAGTCGTACTATTAAGAGGGGTGAAACTCGTATCGAAATGCGGTTATCAAAGTGCCACTAGATGCTCTAACTCATTGCATATGCATTTAGGATCTAGTGGAGTGCTAACACCCTTGAAAATATTTATGAAAATATGCTAACACATGTGCACAAGGTGTTTGTAGGGTTGAGATGGGTTTGGGTCCCTCTCTCCCTCCCCGCCGAAACTTATGGTAGGATTCAACGCTTTCGGAAAATGAAATGTCTATTCTCTATTGCGCCAATGCAAAATTCTTGGTGGTTGGCACACTTGAGCAAGGGTGAAGAAGTAAGAGTTGAAATGGAGTTGATCGAAATGATGTCAAGGCGTCGGTCCAGTGATCGATCGTCAATCCGTAAGCACCGGACGCCGATTTGCTCAGTCCGGTCCGCAGCCGACTTCAGCGATGCAGTGGCTAGGGTTGAGCACCGACGACTGCTCTGCGCGTCCGTCAGGTGGACCGGACGCGTCCGGTCGAAAAAACATGCCTCGGGAGCTTCTTGAAACGACCGGACGCTTGGGGCTTCAAAGTCCGGTCGGCTTCTTATCGAGCGTCCGGTCGGCTTCAGCGACCGTTGAAATCGACGAACATCATTTGAAGCGGGGACACGTGGCGTGAATCACGTGACCGGACGCCGAGGGCCAGCTGTCCGGTCGATCGGACCGAGCGTCCGGTCACCCCTGCTTACAGCCCAAAGGAAGGGGTACAACGGCTCTATTTCATTGGGGCTCTATTTATAGCCCCATGGCCGGCTCAAGGGAGCTCTCTTGCACATTTTCATTGACATAGCAACCTTGTGAGCCTAGCCAAAGTTCTCCCACTCATTTCCATCATAGATTAAACATCTTTGTGAGATTGGGAGAGAATCCAAGTGCATTGCTTGAGTGATTGCATCTAGAGGCACTTGGTGATTGTGTTTCATGCATGATTTCGCTTGTTACTCTTGGTGGTTGCCGCCACCTAGACGGCTTGGAGCAGCAAGGATCGTTGAGTGGAGGAGGTGATTGTCTCCGACTCCGATCGTGGTGATTGTGAGGGGTTCTTGACCTTTCCCCGGCGGAGCGCCAAAAGGTACTCTAGTAAATTGCTTGTGGCTTGTGTGATCCTCATCTTGTGTTGGTTGTGCGGCACCCTATTGAGGGTTTGGCGAGTGATGCCAATCAACATGTGAACCTCCAAGTGAGTGAATCGCCACAACGAGGACTAGCTTGCTTAAGCAAGCAAGTGAACCTCGGTAAAAATCATTGTGTTCATCATTTGATTCCGAGGTGATTGGTCTACATTGGTATTCATTATTGTGATTGATTGGTTCCTACCACTACACGCGGTATAACCCTCTTGATCACTCTCTTTACTTTACCAAAACTAGTTGACAAGCTCTTTAGTGTAGCTAGTTGTGAGAGCTTGCATGCTTGGTTGGTGTGGCTCTTTAGTTAGCTTTTGAGAGCACACTAACATAGGGTAGTGTCATTGCTCTTGTGTGAATTGACACTATCTAAACTAGAATTGTGGTAGGTGGCTTGCATTTTTAAGTAGGCTAGCGCAACACTCGCTTCGCCTCATAATTGTCTAACCATTTGGTTAAGTGTTGTTGTAGAATTTTATTAGGCTATTCACCCCCCCTCTAGCCATTAGGACCTTTCAATGTCCCAACATGACATGAAGAACTTTGCAATAAAACCATCAGGGCCAGGTGCAGCTTCAAGTTGCATGTCCCATATTGCATGCTTAACTTTCTCTTCATTGAATTCCTCTTCCAGGTGACTCAGGTCTTGCCTTGTGATATTAATTGATTCCCAATTTAGTGTTTGATTCCTAACTGCTTGTGTCCCCAGTACAGATGAAAAGTGT